AGCCCCCTCCCCATAGGGGGTGAGCTGAGTGGATCCTAAGAAAAGCCGCTCAGTCATGGATATAACTGCTGAACTATTCAACTGCTTCAGACCTTGAGGTAAAGTGACTGAATCCATATCCATTGTTAACATGCCAGTCTGTGACTAGGTGCTTCCAGATTTCAAAGTCTGCCCCCGTCGCCACTCGCTGATCGGCATAGGACTTTTGTTGGCTTGGTTTCATTTTTCTTGGAAGACACCTGTGAGCAAATTTGATTTATGTGTGGAGAGCATTGCACAGCTGATCAAACACAGCCTTCACAGAATGAGGGTCCCATTCAGTGATATGATTTAAATGACAACAGTGGCTTCTCATCTGTTGCAGCCTTCGTCTGCTTTCACAGCCATTGTAACATGTAACCATGTTATTGTCCACCTGCTCTGCTGTTGAGGTCTTCAGATTGTGCTTGGTCTGGTTCCCTACAGCTCTGCTGCCCAGGGAGACCCCCTGGGAGGACATGACTCCAATGGTTTTGCCCACAGGTTCACTAGAACATGTAAGCCCCCTCAACATGACAAGGTGACAATCAACCGAGAAGGACATTTCAGCTTAAACTCCCATCCACTACAATGCCCCTATTCCCCACTATTGGAAAAGCAATTAATTGTTTTGTTTCTATTGATGCTGATACAGCTATCAACTTTACAACAACTATGCTACTGTATTTCCATACCACTGTATTTCTCTTTTAACATTCTGTATCAGGTATCACTTCTACACCCAATTAATCAGAAAATCCTTTCATGAGAGTATAGGCTCAATAGTTTTTTCAGCATTGATTCCTCGAAGAAGGGGATGCTTCTTTCTTTCTTTCTTTCTTTCTTTCTTTCTTTCTTTCTTTCAAATGTGAGAGGTCAATTCTGCAGGAAGTAGTACTAGGTCACATCCAAATGACCCTGAACAACTAGCGGATTACCTTTTCCTTCCATAATAACATACTTAAAATTGTGTCCCAGCATATCTCGAGATCTACCTAAGTACATTATCTGAAACTGAGAATTGCTTTACAGTTAGCTTTATGGAAAGTGCAAAGCATCTTATTTCTGGAGTATTTTTATTTTAAGAGACTTCTTTCTGGGCATAACTCTAGAACTCTCTGTGTGGAAGTGCTGCTCTCATCAATCATTGGAAAGAGTAGTTCAGGCCTGCACAACTTCGAAGTACTACTGGGCCAAAATGAGATAAGCTAAGCCTTTTAGGGCCACAAATAAGTTTTTAGAACCCCGCTTCCCAAGCAAGGTAATTAGGATTGTTGTTTCTGCATGCCTTCAAGTCATTTCAGACTTAGGGTGATCCTATCACATAATATTCCTATTAATACAAATTCAAAGGGGATTTGTCTTTGTCTTCCTCTGAGGATGGTAAAAACCACTACAGCATGCTTTCTGAATTTTTTCGTTCATTCTCCTCCCTCCCTCTTTCCCTGTCTTTTCCCTACCTTTATTTCTCCTCCCTTTCTTTCCTTCCTGTCTTCCTCCCTCCCTCCATCCTTCTCTCCCTTTCTTTTCTCCCTTCCTTCATTTTCCTACCTCCCCTTCTTTTCATTTCTTTCTTTCTTTCCCCCTCCCTCCCTCCCTCCTTGTGTGCCTCCCTCCTGCCCTCTTTTTCCTACCTCTCTGACCAAGAAAGTAGTAGAAGACCTATTCCATGAGGGGCAGCCCAATCTCCTTGCACATTCACCAGGCCTATGTTTCTATGGCAGCATGTTGCACATATGCAGGCTAGGAGGTGTCTACAGACAGTGCCGGCTCTTCAGCTTAGAAACTGAGATAAGCACCACCTCCCAGAGTCAGACTCAACTAGACTTAATGTCAAAGGGAAACCTTTACCTATCTTCATGTTTTTTTTAAAAATTGTGTTCTAAATGTATCCTTGGTCATGAAAAAATGACATGGCTGGACAGTATAACGACCTCCACTGTACTATGATTCCAACAGATAGTAGAAAAGCAATATCACAGCAATACTAACAAAAACTAATGTGAACGCTAGTGCTTTGTTTCTCCGTTGAAATAATAAATCTTTCAGTTCAACCTTGCCTTCAGAAATATATAGTAACTCAATTTATTTTCAGTTTTTGTTAAAGGAGGTGCTGAACTTTATAGATACATTTGTATACAGGTTTACAACACAATACATATTGCACCATTGTACAATTCATGCAGCAGTAAACAGTTTTTCCTTTCTAAGTTGTCAGAGGCAGTTTATGCTTTTCCACCACATTGATTTTTATCTTTTATTTTTTACAGAGCTGAATGGGCCATTTATGCTTGCTGCACTAGGTTTTTCCCTCTTGAGCTGTGGTTTTCCCCCCTCGAAAAAAATCCAACTATGTTTGAAAAACATTGTTAAAGACAGTTTAATTTTTCTTCTTGTTGTATTCCAATCACTTAGGTTTTGGCCATTTACTCCTCTACTCATTCTTTTCCTAGAACAATTTATAGTGCAATGATCTGTAAGGGTAAATATGATCAAGGAAATCTGACAATGAAGAGGTACTATTTAATAACCTGAAGAATAAGAATATTTAGAGAAGCCAGAATTCAGTAGTTACATATGACAAAGGAAGGGAAAAAAATGAAAAACAACATATTCCTTATTGTAGAAAATAGTAGAAAACAATTGAAATGATTGCTGCATAGCATTTCATTTTCTTTTCTGCTTATGTGTGTATCTTAGTACCTACATTCCATATCCACTTGCTGGACTCCCTCCTCCCCTGTTCAGGTTTCTTGCAATTGGTGGCAGTGATGTACCAATACTCACTATATATTAAAACCTCTGGAGCTTTCGATCTACATTTCCACATAGCATTATTGCAATTCCTTGCTATGACCATCTCTCTCCAGGCACTCATTTCTTATACTTTATTACACACCTGTCCAGTGTACAAGTAAATTGCATGATTACATACTGTGAATGACTGTCACTCCATTATTTTCTTCTTAGAAAATGTTACTAGAAAACATTTAAGTGCAATATATACACTCAGCCTGTTAGTTTCCTCTGGATAAAGGGGGGGGGGGCTTTAACAGTGGAAAAGATCTGCCACTCCGAGCTTATCATTTTACGAAGACCCTCAAATGGGTTTCAAATAGCCTGCTTCTTGGTGGGCAGAGAACTGGTCTCTAGATTCTAGAGGTAAACACTGGACCATTGCAACCTTTTATTCCTCCTGTTCAAAGTAGCTATATAAGACCACTCTACTACCCACTGAGCCAGAGCATATGAAGATTAGCAAGGAGATGTCTCCAGTATCGAAGCAACATGTCCTTTGGGTCTTCTTTTAATCCTAGATTTTGCAGCCACTGGCTTCACTATGTTGACTTTTTGATCTAGAGCAAAGCACAGCCTGTGAGCTGCATGTGGATCCTCCAGGACCATGTTTGTGGCCTCTTGAGGTCAAAACCCTATTTGCTCCCAAATGCCCCCAAATTACCTTTAGGTGTTTGGATGGCATATCTACCATGCTTGAACCCACGTGAACTCTCCAAGGGTCAATTTTCAAAAATTATCCCAAATGCTATCTAGGAAGTTCCCAAAACATGGCAAAAAAGTTTCCACATTCAATGGAGGGAGTTGAAATATTGATTTTCTTGCAGGAGTGAGAAAGGAATTGGGTGTAACCTTCCAAAGTCTCAAGTGGGGGGGGGGGGGTAGCCTTCTACAGATTCCATAATCTGATCTGGCTGTTACTCCTATTGAAAATAACAAAATTTCCACTTGAGAAGAAAAAGATTCTTCCTGCCTTGGGTTCAGTTCTCAGACAGGAGCTTATAGAGAGGAGGAAATGGTCCATTCCCCTTGTTCAATGATGTAGCTTAATGGCAGAGACGTATGCTCTATATGGAAAACATGCCAGATTAAATACTCCACATCTCTGGGGAGGGCTGGACAAAATTCCTGTGTAAAACTTTTGAGAGCTATCACAATCCATTGTAATCAATATACTGAATGGTGGATACGTTTCTGGTATGATTCACTATACAGCAGTTTCCTATCTTCTGTTTTTGATCAATGCATTGGTAATGGATACATACCAACTAACACATTGTCTTCTGCCACATGTTATGCCAATTATCAACCAATACATTGCCCCCTCCCCCCAATTCACCTATGGGATTGAACCATCCAAAATGAATGAAGTTCATATTCTCCTGGACCATATAATGCTTTCAAGCCTCTTTCACTCAACCACTGTTTCGGGTTACAACACATGGACCAAAGAATCTCCTACCAATTCCATTTGGTTACAAAGCTATGATCTGTTCTTTAAGTCTAAATTTTGCAACCGTTCTTTATAATTTTATATCTATAACCACATATAAAAAGTATTAAATAAGGATTATTTTGAAGATATCCACAACTTCATTTTTCCTAGGTCCTCCTTTGTTTGCACTACAGAAAAAATGTACCAGAAACTAATTTTATAAATTGTTTTTCACTCTAAGAAGAAATAAGCTGTAGTGCCCTACAGCAACATTTGATGCATATTTATTCAAAAGTAAATCTCATTTACTTCAGTTAGTTTATTTCCAAGTAAATGTACATAGTTTTATAGCTATGTTGTCCTTTTGATCTCACTTTCTTTTCTCTAACTTTTCTCTAAGAGATTTCTGTCTGTGACAAGAGTAAAACATCAAGCACATTTTTGATCAGGAGCAAAACTTACACACACACACACGTATAACACCATTTTATTGTCTTTCGTTAAAAATTATTTTACACACAAACTTTTCCCAGAGATCTGAAATGGCCAGCAATCACTGAAAAGTGTACAAAAACATGGATTAAACAAAGATTTACATCTCTAACATGCAGTTCTTCTATATGCAACATCAGTGAGATATTTAGGGTCATGACCAATATTCTACTTACTGTATTATGAACAGTATATCTAAACCCACAAAAAAAAATTTTGCCACATGCAAGCTAGTTTAAAATCCCATTAAAATACTGACCTTGTTTCTTTCAGCCCTTCTTTCTGAATTACTTCCAGTATTTGCTTTGCAGTCATTGGTGAATTGGGATGTTTTTCCAGTGCCTAAAAATAAATATACGTGTAAGAAGGCAAAAAGTAATTACTGCAGATGTTTCAAAAACTCTATCATCATATACTTTGTACAATATTTTGTTAAAAAATCAAAAGCTGTCCTTGAAAGCTGGGGTTGTCTATTTGCAAAACAAGAACAATAGCTTACAACGAGCCAAGCAGATAATCATGGGCATCAACTAGTGAAATGTATGAGAGAATCTTTACATGAGAAAGAAGTAGAAATATGGATCCCATTTAAGATTATAAATGAAAGAAGCAATTATTTAGAGATGGTAGAATAAGAGGAATAACATATGGTGCTGCTTGAAAAAAATATGTCCGTAATATCTTTTTTAAAAATCCATTTGCTGTTGACTGGCCTTGAAAAACAACATAATATTTTTCAAAATTTTGCAATATGAGTAAGCATGGGGAAAAACTAGAAGAACACTGTAACTTGTTGCTGAAATATACATTCCAGTTCAGCTCAGTTTTCCATTCCTTTGCCTTTTATGAAGGGGTCCCTGTTGATATACACAACAGTTCTGCTTAGTGAGAATGAAGGCTTCTACTTCCTTCACTGTCCTTTCCAGATACTTGTTCATGCCTTTCTCCCCAGTTAACACACTACTTTATTCGGGTATGTAACTGATCCAACAAAGGCCATGGTGACAGTAATCATGACCTCTATGGATATTATTATGCTATTAGAGCATGCACATCTACTTGAGAAATAGGCCATTCATTCAGAACATATATTCAAACAGTCCAAAATTCCTTTTGTGATAACCTAATTGAATGCCACAATGGCCATTAGTACAGCTGTCTATTTTGAAACAAATTGTGGTGGACCAAAAATTAGTGAACACAAATAACTATAGCAGGGAATGCTTCCAACTTGCTCAAAGAAGTACCGTTAGACAACACCTTTTCCAGACATCATAACTGTTGCCCTCATGTGCATCATGTCTAGTCTCTGCAAGCCTGTTGTGCTATAACACACTAAACTAGCAATGGCTCAAAGATAATTCCACACAGCATCCACACTAAACTATAAGATCATCAAAATATAAATGTGAGAAGAACTCTAGAAATAAAAGTCTTAATGAAATCATAGGTAACACAATTTAATACTGGAAGATTTTTTTTAAAACAAAAACAAAAACACTGGCAGCAACAATATTGTATCTTACATACTATTTCATTTAGCTAGGCAAGCTTAGACTTTCATTCTCAAGTTGAAACCTACATTTTCTGTCCTCCCCTTTCTAATCCAAAACATGGTAGATCAGCCCATCTTAATCTTTCGTGCAGTATTTCTACTTAGCATTTCAGCATGCCTTATTAGTGTCCCAATTCCTGCCAACTTCAGATAAAATATAACACCAAATATTTGTTGTGTACAAAGCAATACCCAATTAAAGGTGATGTGGGACCTCAAAAAGTTTTTGAAAGAATAAAACTTTATTTAAAACAAAAAGGAGGAGGAGGATGACATGAGGTATAAGGCAAGAAGGCAAGAAACTCAACTGAACTGGAAATATTCCAGAGTTTAAACTGAATGGACTTCAAAAGGGGAAACTATACTGAACTGGAGAAGGCTATGATTGATATTGGGAACACTTCAAGGTGGGGTTACTCACTGTGGAGGACTCCCTGTTTCTCTTCCTGTGTACAGGCCCTCAGCACACCTGGGCAGCTCCTCCCTGAAATTGAGAGAATTTGGGTAGCCCTGTCCCCTTCTCTATGACATCACAGCCTATTCTATATAGGAAGTGCTCACATCAGGTGCTACAGCAGAGGTTGGATGGAAATTTCATGTCCACCTTGACCTTAGAAGAGAGGGGAGGAGGGAATGAGCTGCTCTGAACTGAGAGAAAACAATGGGCAGATGAAAAGATGGACACAAAAGGTCATCGCTACAAAGACACAGCACAAACAAAGCTGACAGCAGTATATGCAACACAAAGATTTTAGTCAAACTACAAGGCAGAATCACAATGACCACAATAAGGAACAGACAGGGCAGGATGCAATGATGTTCCAGGATGCTGAATATATTAGAAAGACTGAGAATAAAAAAGCAAAAAGGAAAAAAAAGAAAAAGAAAAAAGTAGCCCATTGTGTCTATCTCTTTGCTTTCCACCTATTCCAGTGTAGGCTGGGCTTTCAACCATCATGCTGAATTCATTAGTTTTGTTCACCAAACTTATTGGCAAAGCAGCTAAGGGAATAACACAGTTTCCACATAGCAAGAGACAAATATTTTGTGATTCTGAATATTTTTAAATTCAGGAGACAACTGTATTATTTGGAAAGAACAGCCATGCCTTACATCCTGCATTACACGAGGCAGTTTTCATGCACAATTAAAATATCTGCAGCTTAACATCTTACTTATGAAAGAGAAGTTAAGCAGAAGATAAATATTACAGCAAGGCTGAAAGGGAGGCTGAAATTGTTGTTATAGTCCAAGTTCACATCTTTATCCTTAATGTGATTTACCAGGTGGTATAATACTCTGTCTCCTTAGCTCCCACTAGTGATTAGTACCATCTATCCTAGATTTTAACATATCTAAAACGAGATATGTTTTTAAAAAGCCATTCAGAAAGGGGAAAAAATGTGAAGTTCTCTTAAATGACACAGGGAGGTTGATTACTGATTACAGACAGAAACTGTTCAACACATTTTGTCCAGATCACAATCAATAATCATAATCCAAATGACCTTCAAGCAATTTAAAACCAAAGAATCTATATCCAAGAATATATTTCCATACAGAGTAACCAGTTTACCCTATAGCACTGTGGATAATTCTTACTTAGGCACCAACAACACTGCCATATAATCCAGTTTGAATCTCCATTATATGATCTATGTAGACTCATATAATGCATTTAACTGCATTGACCTGCATTATCTTATGATATATATGTGAAGGGTTGTCCAGGCCTAGTACAGTTTCAACATGGATAACATAAAGGACTTAGGAAAAGAAGGAATGGAGAACTTGAAGTTGTCTTAAACAACTTATACCTGGAAAATAGACTGAGAAAACAGACGTGTCACAGTCACAGTATTCATTTTATGAAATTATAATTATTTAGTAATATAGTAATTATTTCTAAAGTTGCATGTGTATTAAAATGTGCAAGCTGTGATAAAATTATGATTTTTACCTTCCTTTTTGGTGATACAAAAATGGATACTCTATCTTCCATGATTGTTAGTTCTCCCCATCATTATCCATCCAACCAACCACTTCAATTTCTTTTGATGCTCCCCTCATGTGAAGCAGTCATCCCACCAGATAGTTAATATATAACAAGCATCGATCTGTACTTCTTGCGATCAACTCTTTTCTACCAAGGGCAAGATGGATGGATGGCATCCTTGAAGTGACTGGACTGACCTTGAAGGAGCTGGGGGTGGTAACGGCTGCCAGGGGTTCTGGCGTGGGCTGGTCCATGAGGTCACGAAGAGTCGGAGACGACTGAACAAATGAACAACAACAGCAATACTACTGCAAAGAAAAGTTTAACTGCTACAAGTTAAGCTCATGTTACTATGGTCAAGAGATTTCAGGATTGTACAAGAATCTGCCAGACAAGGGCTGTGTCTACAATCTACTAGATAAATTTGGTTTAAAGGGCTCCAGGGTTATCCATATGGCCTGCCAGGCTGATGGCACATCAGGATAATTGCCCACAAGCATCTTCAATGAGATGTAGCAAGCCTCTGCCAGGGAACTACTTGCTGGCAATGATACTGATGGATTTGCTGATAGTATGGTAAATCCACATTTCCAAAACTGTAGGATTACTCTGGAGCTTCCTAGAACAAATCTCATGTTCTGTTGATCCAGATTAATTGATAGATTCAGTAGTTCTGCATTGTGTGGATTCCCTTCAGCAGCTGATTGATGAGTCTACTTTATTTTGACTGTGTAGAAATAGCTCACACTACTTTATAACTCACACCAGCTATTTACTTGTATCTTCAACTACTACTATAGTAGTGTCATACACAGCAGGAAAATATAGTTCCAATTTAGAATATAAAATAAATGCAGATTCTAAGGACCCTTCTACACAGATCCTAAAATGCAGAAGAAACTGGGATAAAAGGGGTGGCGGCTAAATAACATTTAAGGAAAATATATGCTGATTTGCATTAACAACTGAAAAACACTTGTTAAAAAGATGAACTTAAAACCTGATTTTGGCCAAAAAATTGATAAATTTTATGACTCTATATCTCTTCATTCAAGGAAAACACGTGACAGCATTCCTATATGCTGGTGTTGACTGCTCCAATGCATGTGTGAATGTTAAAATCCCAAAATAGCTGATGAGGACTCTAAACAAATGTAGCCACAGACACACATGTGGTATGTGTGTCTGTGGAAGCATACCATACGCCTATTAAAGCAGCTCTACTGGCTGCCGATGAGTTTCTGGGCCCAATTAAAGAGCAGGTGCGCAAGCCATGCAACCTCCCTCCTTCCTCCATCACATGGAGGCATCGGGGTAAGGCGTGTTGATGCCCTGTTGCTTCCCTCATCTGCCCATCAGACAGGGGAAAGAATGGCAAGGCGTGTTGGCATGTTGCCATTTCCCTCATTAGAAGGGGGAAACCCTGAAAAACCTGGGTTGCTTCATTAGAGCTACCCAAAAGACTAATTCTCACCATAGTGGTGAGGAAGCTACCATGCAACACTTCCTCACCACTTCACCCACAGAAGGGATGGGGTGCATCTAGATCTGTCTCCGAAGAGGGGCCCCAGTATGGTAAGGGGCAAAACAACCCCAGTGTGATGAGGTGGCAACTTCTTCTGTTGAAATTAATGGTAAATTCCCTTACATGATATTGAACATACCTTTTTACTTCATTCAGAATGTTTAAATGCTCCATTTTCTCTGTTATTAAAATTGTATTGTTGATTTTAGTATTTCTAACTTGTATGTAGAAATATAGTAAATTGATACATATAAAAATAAAAAATT